CTCCTCCTTCTCCTCCTCTCCTCCTCCTCCTCCGCCTCCTCCTCCTCCTCCTCTTCCTCCTCCTTCTCCGGCTCCCTTCTCTCCTCCATTCGTTCTCCTTATAAGTGATGTATCCCTGTCGCACCCCGAGGCCAGCTTTTGAGGACGGGCCTGACGTTTCGCCTGAGACTTCCTCACCACCCATGACTCTGAAATTTCAAAAAATGACAAAAGATTCACAGATGGAGGGCGGGTCGTTTTCAGAATGTGGTTCTCGCCTTAGCGCCGCGCACATTCGTGCTAAAACTTTGCACGAGCTTCATGGATTGAGGGCGGGTCGTTTTCAAAATGAGGTTTTCGCCTAAGCGCCGCGCACAATCGCTTTTAAAAAATTGCAAGGGCGTCACGGATTGAGGAAAGGTCGTTTTCAAAATGTGGCTCTCGCCGTAGCGCCGCGCACACTCGTTGTAAAAATGCGAAAGAGCTTCACGCAGTGAGGGCGGGTAATTGTTTAATGTTGCTCTCGATTCAGCGCCGCGCACATTCGTTGTAAAAACTTGCAAGAGCTTCGCGGATTGACGGCGGCTCCTCTTCAAAATGTGGATATCGCCCCAGCGCGGTGCACATTCTTTTTGAAAACTTGCAAGAGCATCACGGATTGAGGGCAAGTGGTTTTCAACCTGTTGCTCTCGCCTTAGCGCCGCGCAAACTCCTTCTCACAACCCGCCAGAGTTCCACGGATTCCCATGATCAACGCTCTAGAAGTGGCGTTTTGAAGGATTCCGGATTACGCGGGTGCAACAGTTACGTTGGTTCTCTGTGTTGAAGTCCCGGAAATGGTGTTCTGGCACGGTTCCGAATCGTCAAAACGCAGCAGTCAGGTTGGTCCGTGGCGTTGGACTCCCGAAAATAATGTTTTGGCATGCTTCAGGACCTTCAAACGGTTGTCTTCCAACGAGGCAGCTCCCTCAATGAAAATGAACCGTTGTAGGGGCCTATGAAGAGGGAGCTTGGAGGGAGGGTCAATTCCAACATCGTTGATGACTCTTGGGTTTACACTGGTCCTCCTCCTCCTCGTCCGTCTCCGTCTCCTCCTCCTCCACCTCCTCCTCCTCCTCCTCCTCCTCCTCCTCCTCCTCCTCCTCTTCCTCCTGCTATTCTTCCTCCTTGGGGCAGGGCGGCATCTACACATTGCCCTAACTGCTCTTGAACTCCAAGCTCCACCCTTGCGCCCCCGCCCCCCCATACACACAAAAAAAAATAGTGGCAGGCGGCGCCGCGGAGCTTGACGCTTCCTCATGCCTCCTCCACCTCCTCCTCCTCCTCATCATCATCATCATCAGCATCATCATGATCATCATCATCATCATCACCACCATCATCATCATCATCATCATCATCATCATCATCATCATCATCATCATCATCCTCATCAGCATCATCATCAGCAACGTCATCATCCTCATCATCGTCATCAGCAGCAGCATCATCAGCATCATCAGCAGCATCATCAGCATCAGCATCGTCATCGTCATTATCACCATCCTCAGCATCAGCATCATCTTCATCATAACCATCATCATCAACAACATCACGGTCATCATCATCATCATCATCACCATCATCATCATCATCATCGTCATCATCATCATCGTCATCGTCATCATCATCATCATCATCAGCATCGTCATCGTCATCATCATCATCATCATCATCATCATCATCATCATCATCATCAGCGTCATCATAGACCGCTTCCTCATCCTTCTCCTCCTCATCCTTCTCCTCCTCCTCCATTCCATTTCGTTATAAATAATTTCTCCCTGTCGCACCTCGAAGCAAGTTTTTAGGGCGGGCCGGGCGTTTCACCTGGTTCCTCACTATTCATGATTCCGACGCTTAAAAATTGATTGCAACAACTTCACAGATGGAGGGCGGGTCCTTTGCAAGATGTGGTTCCGCTTTAGCGCCACGCACATTCGTTTTCAAAATTTGCAAAGAGTTTTACAGATTGAGGCGGGTGGTTTTCATAATGTGGCTCTCGCCTGAGCGACGCGCACATTCCTATTCAAAATTTGTGAGAGCTTCACGGATTGAAGGCGGTTCCTTTTCAAAGTGTGGCTCGCGCCTTAGCGCCGCGCACATTCGCTTGCAAAAGAAAAGAAGAGTTTCACGGAGTCCCTTCATCTTCTTACCAGAAACTGTGTTTCGGAAGGATTCATGATTATGCGGGTGTACCAGTTACAACGGTTTTTTGCGTTGAAGTCCTAGGAATGGCGAATGTTTTCGAAAAAGTGGCTCTCGCCTAAGCGCGGCGCGCATTCGTCTTCAAAGTGTGCAAGGGCTTGACGAATTTAGGGCGGTTCCTTTTCAAAGTGTGGCTCTCGCCTTAGCGCCGCGCGCATTCGTTTTGAACATTTGCAAGAGGTTCCCGGATTGAGGGCGGTTCCTTTTCAAAATGTAGTTTTCGCCTTGGCGCCGCGCACATTCGTTTCAACAGTTGCAAGAGTTTTACGGATTCCGGTGATCAATTCACCAGAAATTGTGTTTAGGAAAGATTCAGGACCACGCGGGTGCAACAGTAATGTTGGTTCGCGGTGTTGAAGTCCCGAAAATAATGTTCTGGCACGATTCTGGATCGTCAAGACGCAGCAGTCAGGTTGATCCGTGGCGTTGAAATCCTGAGATCCATTTCTTTGTATGCTTGAGAGTCTTCAAGCGGCCGTCTTCCAACGAGGCAGTTCCCTCAATGGGAATGAACCGTTGTAGGGGCCTATGAGGAGGGAGCTTGGAGGGAGGGTTAATTCCAACATCGTTGGTGACTCTTGGGTTTACACTGGTCCTCTTCCTCCTCCTCCTCCTCCTCCTCCTCCTCTTCCTCCTCCTCCTCCTCCTCTTCCTCCTTTCCCTCCTCCTAAGTTTCTTTTCCCTATTAATAACTTCTCCTTGTCGCACCCCGAAGCCAGTTTTAGGGCGGGCCGGGCGTTTCGCCTGAGACATTCTCACCATCTGATTTTTTACAACAGCTTCACAAATGGAGGGCGGGTCATTTTCAAAAATGTCGCCCTCGCCTTAACTCGGCGCACATAAATTTTAAATGTTTGCAGTAATTTCACGGTTTGAAGGCGAGTGGTTTTCAATATGTAGCTCTCGCCTGAGCGCGGCGCACATTCGTCTTCGAAGTGTGCAAGAGCTTGACGAATTGAGGGCGGTTCCTTTTCAAAGTGTGGCTCTCGCCTTAGCGCCGCGCACATTCGTTTTGAACATTTGCAAGTGGTTCACGGATTGAAGGCGGTTCCTCTTCAAAATGTGGTTCTCGCCTTAACGCCGCGCACATTCGTTTTCAAAATGTGCAAGAGTTTCACGGATTGAGGGCGGTTCCTTTTCAAATTGTGGCTTTCGCCAAAAGAAAGTGTTTCACGGGGATCCGATCTGACCCGGTCCAATCCAATCCTATCCAATCAATCCGATCCTCCTCCTCCTCCTCCTCCTCCGCCTCCTCCCTCTCCTCCTCCTCCTCCTCCTCCTCCTCCTCCTCCTCCTCCTCCTCCTCCTCCTCCCCCTCCCCCTCCCCCTCCCCGTCCTCCTTTTCCTCATCACCATCATCATCATCATCATCATCATCATCATCATCATCAGCAGCATCATCATTACCATTATCATCATCAACATCATCAGCAGCATCATCAGCATCAGCATCATCCTCAGCATCATCATCATCATCAGCAGCAGCATCATCCTCAGCAGCAGCATCATCATCCCCCTCGTTCCTCCACCATCTCCCACGTCCCCCCTCATTGCCACCACTTCCTGCACGCTCCGCCTCCCCACTGGACCCCCCCACCCACCCATTTTCCTACCCCCACCCCTCCTCCCGCGCCAGGCGGGCGGGGGACTGAGGAGGGAAGAGGGAGGATGGAAGATTGAAGATGGACGAGGGAGGAGTGAGGAGGGAGGGAGGAGGAGGGAGAAGGGAGGACGGAGAAGGGAGGGAGAAGGGAGGAAGGAGGAGGTAGGAGGTAGGAGGTAGGAGGTAGGAGGAGGAGGAGGAGGAGGTAAGAGGTAGGAGGGGGAGGAGGAGCAGGAGGAGGAGGAGGAGGAGAAGGAGGAGGAGGAGGAGGAGGAGGGAGGAGGAGAGGAGGGAGGAGGGAGGAGGGAGGGAAAAAAGAGGAAGGAGGAGGTAAGAGGTAGGAGGGAGGAGGCGGAGGAGGAGGGAGGAGAGGAGGGAGGAGGGAGGAGGAAGAAGAAAAGAGGAAAGAGGGAGGAGGAAGGATGAAGGAGGGAGGAGGGAGGAGGCCGAGCGTTCCCAAGAAAGGCCCATCCACAGTCATCGACGAACCCCCGCACTGTGCGGGAGGTCAGCTGCGAGACGCGCAGCGCGGGCGAAATCCGCCGAGTCGGAATCAGAGGGCACCCAGCTGCCTAACCCTGTTCGTTTGTTGTGGAAGAGGCGATGGATGGGATCAAAGGACAACGGCAATCCGCAGCCGACGACGGGAGCAAGGACACAGGGCCAACAAGTTGAGCATGGAGCCGCCGCCCCCAATGAACCTCTGACTCGGCTTCGGCGGCCTGGGTGGCGCGGCGCCTCCTGCGCTCCTGCGTGCCCGGTCTCGCATCTGAGCGCAGTTGTAGCGCCGCCAGAGCTCGCCCAAGTCGACGATGGCCACAGTTCGCCTCGCCTCGTCCACTGCTACGAGCTCGCGAACCCACGCACGCTTGCGAAGAATCAGCACGGCC